ATAATAAATATAACACTTTTTCAAACAATTTTACTAAAATAACTCTACTCTCTCAAATATTTTACTTTTATTGAGACAAAGAGTAATTAATTTGAAAACAAAATTGGGATTAAAAACATTAATGTTTCATTGAAAACTGCTAACATGAGTCAATTTGAATTTTTTTTAAAAGGCTAAAATTGCAATCATTTTTGGACGGAGGGAGTGTCATCTTTCAGTAGTAGCAAAACCAGATGGTTAAAGGATGTCTGCCTTACTAACCAAACCAAATTATGATATTTGAGCACAAAAATATTTATACTACTAACAAGCAATAATATGCACAAGGAGAATGTGTTGATGAGAGGAATATAGATTTCAGTTGAAGTTTTATGATATAAATTATCGTGAGAGAGCTGAGAGAAGAAGCTTGACATCAATTTTAACAGAAAAACATACAAAGGGATCACCTGTAGGCTGCAACTGAGGACCCCAAAAAATCCCGTTCCATATTCAAATATAAGTAACCCCACCACAGAACATAGAATAATAACAAAATTTAAAAAAAAAAATATATATATATATATATATATAACTAACAAAAACAATGCATTCACCATACACACTTAAAAAACTAAGTTGGAGAATGTTTGCCTGATAAAAAGTTATACATCACTTTTAACAGGCACACAATAAATAAATGTCCACTTAAATGCAATCACCAACGACCCAAAGTAATAAATATAGAAAGCAAACTTTAAATAACTGAAATAAAACATCCACAACAACAAAATTCACCCGAAAAAACAGCATGATTACTGATTAATGAGCGCGTCTCAATTAAAGACGTTAATGTCCAAGATTTACCAAACAAAAGTCATGAAATCAATTAACGCCAAAAAATTGTAAAAACAAATAACTAAACACAAAACCAAAAGATCATAACGGAAATACATTCGGGAGTCATCAAGAGATAATAATTAAGTAAAGGTTTAGTAGGTATTGTCTTAAAAAAAAAAGTGATTAATTATCTAAAATAAGTTAAAACAAGCCAGCATTATGCCTTAGATAAACTTCTACCTAATTTAGGAGGAAACAATAAAAATAAAAATTAATTAATTTCCACCATAAATTAAAACTATGCAGCACAAGTTTTCTCGGAGTTAAAAGAAGTATCTTCAGTAAAAGTTCTCACACGAGTTCGATTCAATATAACTTTTTTTCTGCTGTAAGTGCTTACTGCTGAGATTTATATCCAAACAAGACCTAACTAAAATTGAGTTAGCTAAAACCTCAAACTAGTTGAATTTTCAGAAGTAGTAAAAGATGCAAAAGTAAGTGTATAGAGGGAGAGTGTGACAAACCTTGAGCAGAGCCGAGTTGAAAACGACGTCGGCTTTGTTCTGAAGCAGTGCGACGGAGGCACTGATAACGCCGTCGAGTGATTTGAGAGCTGATTCGACGGAATTGGAGCAAGCGGCGCAGGTCATGCCGGTGACCGTCACCTGAATCCGCCTCTCTCCAGAGTCGATTTGGTCGTAGGAGTCCAAGAGCCGCACGTCCTCGAGGTCATCGGAGTCTTCAGCGGCGGCTGCTCTTCGTTCGCCAGCGAGGGAAGTAAGCTGCAGGCCTCCGACTCCCGGCGCCATCGCGTGAGAGCAAAAGTCTGAGATCGTTAAAGCAAGAGAAACTGAAATGAATGTGAAGAAAAAGTGAAACGAAGTTTCGATGTCAATGTTGAGTAACAATTTTTAATTATCAATCATTATTTTTTATTTCAATAAATAATTTTTTTAAAATACCTGGACAATTCTTAAAAACAGGTGGAAAATGCGGGGCGGTTTTGTTTCCTATTTTGCCCTTCAACCTTTGTCTTGAATTCCGATTGCATCCTTTGTACTTCTATTCTACTCGCTTTGTTTTGTTGTACTGCACGTTACGTAAACCGCGTCTGTGCCAAATAATTAAAATGTTTGTTGAGAAAATATAATACCATAAAAGGAAATTTATTTAATCATAAATTATCGTCAAAGCTAAGTTTACTAAATTATATGATATTTAATTAAAATTTATTCTAACGTTAATTAAGATTAATTGACTGTGTAAATCCTTTAAAGAAAATAATTATAACTATTCAATTCACGGAGAAAGAAGAATAATTGAACACTTTTTTCTATTATCACGGTTTGAATGAATTTTATTTTTTTTTGTGATAATTTTCACTTCTTTACTTGCAGTCTCTTGAATTAGGGAAATTCGTAAAAATAAAATAAAATAAAAGTAATAAGAAATAACTTTTTGAACAAATATTGATTTTTACTCAATTTCATTTATAGAAATCAACTTGTATTGTTCCTGAAAAAACGTTCAACTTTCCCTACTTTGACTATTTTTATCATGACTTGTGTTGCTTTTTCCAAAGAGAGACGGATAATGTGTATTTTTTTTTTTCAAATATATTTTGTTAAAATACGTACGCAATGTTAAGACGTGAGAGAAATCAAATAAAAAGAGAAAAGAAACAAGAAAAGAATATAGTGACGATATTCAAGTTATTTATATGAAAAAAAATACAACAAATAAAAATTGTAAGTTTAAAATTAAATACAAATAATGAAAACTAATATTATTTTTTTTAAAATGTAAGAGATCATTTTTCACACTTACAATTTATAATTTAATAGTCTAATATAATCACTTTTCTCAGCTTAAAAAAAATAACTCTTATATTTTCTCATTTATATATAGAATCTTATTATTTTTTATATAAATGTTATGTTGGATAAAAAACTATAATTAAAAATATAAAAATATGTCGATGTTATTAATAAAAAATATAATTAATTACACGATTAGTAAATAAACTTATTTCTTTCTACTTCCATAACTTGTGATTTGGTGATATATTTTCCAACCACCACAAATAATTTGGAAAAAGTGTATTTTATAATTATACCTTGATTAATTTGTTTAAGTACACTAATTTAGAGAGATAAAACAAACGTAAATCTGGATTGAATAGATTTTTTCTTTAAAATTCGACTTTTCCTTGACTAAAATAAATTATCTATTTTTACAATTATAATAGTTTAAGGTTGCTACGTACGTATTATGAACAATAATAAACATCTAATTTTTTTAAATAAATTTACTGATATGATTTCATATTTTCATAAATATATTATTTTAAATTAAAAAAATAACTATTTAAGGACGCATTATAAATTAAAAATAGCATTTTATTAAAAGGTAAAAACATGTTATTTTGGAAATAAGGATAATATGAATTTATATTATCATTTTCTCTTTTTTTCGTTTCAACCCCCAAAAAAAAAAGACAAACTTTTTTTTATGGGATAAATGTTGATGGAAAGATGACAAATTTTTCCATTACATCCATTTTGATGGCAAGCCACCACTTTGTAAGGAAGATGACAGAAAATTAAAGGAACATTTTCATTACGTTCCACTACTCAAAACTAAAACAATTATATCAATCCATTTAAAATTTTAAAAAAGGAAAAATAAATCATGAACAGTGTCTTCCACCAATAATAATGTGCTTTGTGGCACATCGTCATACGTGGCATCCACATTACTATAATTCCTAAATGCAAATAGTTACAAACAAATAATATGGAGATAATTATTTAATGTGAATGGAAATATTGTTTTGGGTTTGAATTTATATTTTAAAGTATCATATTAGATGAATTAAGATATAGAGATAGTTTAGGTAATTATAAATATATTTTTTTTTAAATACGACTATTTCGGTATTATTTATTTTCCAACTTTGAAAACCGTAAATTCTTCAACCTTCAGCAGGAACTTTCACCCATTTTGCCGTTTCTAACTGTACTACACTCTCTCGTAATGTACAAGGGTATTATAGTAGTTTCTCCTCAAAAATTTTATTATTATTATTATTATTACAATAATAATAATTAATATGCAATATATAATAACTGCTAATACAGAAAAAAATAAAAATAAACGTGTTCAATGAAATTCAAAACGGCGAACCATACCTGTTAAATGTTGGAAGCATACGTCGTTTTAGTGACAGAAACCAGAAGAAGAGAAGGCTACAAAACAACCATGGAAACCTGTGGGCTTGCGACAGCATATAAACTTTAATTATATTTTATTATTTATATCTTTATAGACAATAAATGAATACCATTTAAGTTAATAAATAGTGAAAATAAAAAAATACAATACAAAATATTATACGTTTTTAATAAATTAAGAAATATTTATCTTACTTATTAATACTTACAAATATTTTGAAGGATGTTATATTGTGTAAGTTTATCTTTTTTAATAATTTCAAAAGTTTGTAACTTAAAAACTTTAGTAATTAAATTTTAATTAAATTTACCTTCTTGATATGGTTAGAAAATAACTATTTTTTATCACACAAATGTTTGACTTATAAATAACTGTAATCATTCTCTCTCCCATTTTTTTTAAACCGCTTTTTAAATTAATATAATAATAATTCATATTAATTATTAATATTTATATATTATAAAGGAAATGACATCTTCTCAACCTTTTATCAAAATTTTTAAGTAAAATTAATGCTCCTAATTGCAATATTAAGTTGTAAATTAATATTGCATTTTATATTATATTATAACTTTTTAATTAAAAGTTAAAGTAAGTAGTATTGGATATACTAATTACTTTAACTTTTAACTTTTATGGAGGATTTAAAATAAAAGGAAAGTGAAATATAAATGATAGGGTTTATACTTTTGTTATTATTTATTATTATATATACATATAAAGTGTTTTTGGTATAAAAAATATTTACAATAATAAAATTATTAAACAAACAAAAAGTGGTTGTATATATGAAAAAGTGGAAACAGGCCCATTTGAAAACACAGCCCAGCAAGGCCCAACCCAAACCCTCTAGGGTTTCTACATCTATAAGTCACCAAACCCTTTGATTGGTTTAGTCTTCAGGTACAGAGAGAGTGAGACGGCACAGAGAGAACGAGGGCGCAAAAATGGTGAAGTTTCTGAAGCCGAACAAGGCAGTGATAGTGCTGCAGGGTCGTTACGCGGGGAAGAAGGCGGTAATAGTGCGAACATTCGATGAGGGCACGCGCGAGCGCCCCTACGGCCACTGTTTGGTTGCGGGGATAAAGAAGTATCCGAGCAAGGTGATAAAGAAGGACTCGGCGAAGAAGACCGCGAAGAAGTCACGCGTCAAAGCCTTCATCAAACTAGTGAACTACCAGCACTTGATGCCCACGCGCTACACGCTCGACGTGGACCTCAAGGACGCCGTCGCCCCCGACGTTCTCCACGCCAAGGATAAGAAGGTTACCGCCCTTAAGGAGACCAAGAAACGCCTTGAGGAGCGCTTTAAGACCGGCAAGAACCGGTGGTTCTTCACCAAGCTCAGGTTCTGAGCTAGACCGTGCGTTTTTGTTTTCAACCGTTTCGATTGGATCTCGCATTGTTGTTTTAATTGTTGCTTTATAATGCTATTTTGAGTTTAGAGTTTTAAACTGTTGGTTAAATTTTGGTTCCATTGGATGTTTAATTTGCTTGTGGAGATTATATAGATAAAGTTTTTAGCGATTATAGATTGAACGTGTTTTGTTTGCATCTGATGAAATTGCTTCTGCTATTAGATTTGCGTGTTCACGAAAATTTTCAATGTGGTTTGATTTTGATGGTTTAACCCTAAACTTTAGTTAGGAAATGTAATACAATTAAGAAACTGTAACCTTGATTTAAAATTTTGAGAGTTAAGCAACCATGTGTGTGTGTGTGTGTATATATATATATATATATATATTCAATAATGCATTCAACTATCTCCATAGTTAATCCCGTTGTTTAGAGAAAGCAAATATGTTTTTCTGGTTTTATCGTTGAAGTTATACAATGATGTTGCAGTATCTGGTGTTTTGATAGAAAATTCGATACCGGATTGAAACTCAAAATTAGTTGTAACCCTCTTTTGGTTGTTGGGAGCAGTTTTTGCTTGGATTGATTGATATTTAGAAACGCATGTGTGAAGCTGGCATGGTTTTGTGTAATGACTGTTCCTAAACCTGATATTACTGGAGGGGTAAAGAGTGTGTTCCCTGAAATCCTGTTGGGAATTGAGTGCCACTGAAACAGTGTGATAATATTACTCATCTATTTTCTTAATATCGAACATATTTTTTTATTCTTAGCACCGCCACGATTGTCACTTTAGGCCCCCATTATACATTTATTTGGAGTTTGCACCGATCAGTGTCTTTTTGCTCTTAAATCACGCCATTGATAACCATGTTTTTGATATTGGAACTAATTTGAAAGTAAGTTAGTATTAAAAAATACGATTTGAAATGTTCACAGAAAATTTGAAATGAAATAAGTTGGTATTGAATAGCATGAAATAAATTTAACTGAATTGTTATTTCAATGTAGTTTTTAAAACCTGTATGTTCATTGGTATTATGTTAAACAATTCAAATGGTTCATGTACGTACAAGATAATTAAGAGTAATTTTTGTTTAGTTTACTGATCCAGTGTAGGCAAGTTTACGAGCCAGTATGATACTGGAAACACTCTGGTGGAGTTTGGTAGAAATGTTCTTAAAAGTATTTATAAAAGCTATTTTTAAACTTAAGAGATAATGTGTGTGTGTGTTTTTTATTATTAGTTATATTGATTATTGTTTTTGATGATTTCATAGAAGCAATATATTATTCATTTAGTGAAAATTTTATTTTGATACTGTCAAAATTAATTTGTCATCTCTTTTCAAGGTAACCTGCTGGGGTAAGTTTTTTCTTCCTGAAACAAACTATTGTGACATACATTTTAAAATAGGGGTATGAATTCGAAGGGTATTTTTTCCTATTCATATCAGGTTAAAGTTACTTCTCTGATAGATATTTTTGTATTATAATTAATAAATCATATTTTCAGCAAAAGTTTAACCTATGCAAAGGGATTTGTTTGATATCTTAAGTAGTGTGATCTGCACAACGTTAAAGCCACTAATAAAATTAATGATTCAATAATTAAGGTCAACAAACAACCTACAGCATAACTCTTTAATATGGTGACTCAGAATGATTTGCATTAAGAATCTCAATATCTATTTAGGATTTAAAATTTGTCATAATGAATTTTAAATGACAAATTAAAAATAAGGAAAAGAAATATTGTGTTGTTTTTAAATTCAAATTATGTCTAAGATTTATTTATTTATTTTAAATATCCATTTAGAAAGATAAATAAAATATAATAAAATCAATTTATATTTTAACAACACCCATTTGGATTTTAAGGTGGTTTGGCAAATTATTCTTTTTGTAATTTTTTTCGATAATAATTCACACACAAAACTCTTGATATATTTTAAATGATTCATCCATTAAAAGTTATATATATATATATATATATATATATATATATATATATATATATATATATATAATATTAGGGAATGATAGTGTTTTATAAAACATAATTTGTTTAGTACGAATCTTTATATTGATTAAGATTATTATAGTATTGTACTAAGAATTGATATTTTTTATCTTTAATTTAATTTTAATTAAACTATTATTGTTTATAATTTCATTTTAAAAAATATTGAAAAATTGTTTGAAGAATAATTTATACAGTTAAAAATTATCGATATAAAACTAACAATTCTTTTTACTAATTTTTTATTAACTAATATATAATAAGTACATTGAAAATAGTAAAAATATACATGTATTATGTTACATCCAAAACTTTTTTAAAAACTAATAACTTTTAAATCAAATTCGTTGAAAACTTTTAACACTATTATATAACTATAAAAAAACAAAAAAAAATAATTTGATGAAAAAACTAATTATAAATCAATTTGTATAAGTTGTGATAAAAAAATATTACCAGACAACCTAATTTTATTTTTATAATATGAAATGAGAACTAAAGAATATAATAATATATAATAGTATTTTATATTATACTTAAATTTTTTTAAGCATTGAAAAATGAAAAAAATTAAATTATAATTATATGTATATATATATAAATTTATAATTAGTTTTATATAATGAAAAGTAAAAAAAATTAAAGTTACTTTTACAAAGTTATATCTAGTCAATATTTTTTTTTGTTTTTTATTTTTATCATCTGATATAATCTGTATTTTATTTGTTTATTTTAAAAAATAAGAATAAAATCAACCTAATTACAAGTTATTTTAATATTTAAATGTGTTTTTTTAATTAATTCAAACTAATAGATGAACGTCTCAAGTAACACACATAATAATACTTTTATGAATTATAAAAATATATAACAGGTAAAAAATGTTGGTTTTTTTTTTAAGGTTTAATAATGTTTTTATTTTTCAAACTGTAGGTTAATTATGATATTGGTTTTTTAAATTTTGTTTTTTAGTTTTTTATTTTAAAAAAATTGTTCATAAATATATAACAACAAAAAAGAATAAATTTGTAAGACTTAAAGTTTATAATATAAGTTTAAATAATTAGGATAAAATCTAAGATATTTAAAAATATTTTTATATCCTTAAATATTAAAATTTAGTATTAAAAATAATTTTTTTTAGTTTTAAGTAACATTTTTTTATTTAGAATAAAAAATATATTTTTTAAAAATTTTAGAAATTTAAATTCAAATTACTTTCTCTTATATTTTTTTACATTTCATCAAGCATAATTGGGACTGCTGTATATTATAATTCACTTTGTTTGCATTTTAAAAGTAATCGTTTTTTTTTTCTGCTCCTAAAACTACCCACTGTTATTACTACAAACTTAAATGTCAAATTAATAATCTTATTTATTTTATAAAAAAATAGTTAAAAACCTAAATTATATTTTGAAAATAAAATATTAGCCCATTTTTAATGTATATTTTTGTCTAGTAAAATTATTTCATGATAACTTTATCATTTCTCTTTATATGTCTCTTATTTTATTATTATATCTCAGATGGCTTAAAACTCTTTTTGTTAGAGTACATGAGCTAAAAAATAAATGAAAACTTGAAAAGTGAAATAAATAAAAAAGAGTATATTATTCATAATGATCAGTAGATATTTAAAAATAATTGTTTGAAGAAAAAACATAATATAAAGAATGTTAATAATTTTAATTTATATTATATATTATTTTTTTATAACAATTCTTAATACAATAGAAAAAAATAAAAATAAAGATAAAGACAAAAAAATTTAAATTTTTAAAAATATTTTTTTAAAAATTAATTATGAAAAATATATTCAGCTAAATAATAATAATAATAATAAAAATACTGTTATCACATTTTGATTGTTAAAACTTTTTTTTAAAGAAGAAATAAGAGGAGTGAGAGGAGGGTAAAGAATGGGAGGGACACAATCTTAAAAGAGTTGATCCCTAACCAAACCCTAGAATCACCTGATCAAATCGAACAAAACCATCGCAATTGCTGGATCGAAAGGTTATCTCTCTATTCTTGTGAAACCTGTTTTTCTGCTCGCTATTTCTCCATCATCCATGGTCTACCATGGACACAGGCGTTTTGAGAATGAATTTTGTAATTTATTTATATATCATTTAGTTAATTTTGCTCGTGACCAGAGGAGGTTCGTCTTTAACAAAAGGTGGAGAATTGTCTCGTATCTTCTTATAATAAGCAGATAGGAGGGTTTGGAACGATGTGCATTAGATTTGGTGTGCGCTAAATTAATGGTGGATTCCTCTGTTCGTTATTTTCCTTGTCTCTTTCTGTGTGTGTCTTTAGAAGGTATTAATGTTTCAAGTGACAGTGATGTGGTATTGAGCATGGATATCTAGAGAAGAAGGGAGAGAGGATTTATTATTTACTAATGATATAATATTGAAGCTCTGTTTTTTTTTTCTTATTTCATTTTTTTTATTTACAAATTTTAACTTGTTTAATCCATTTGGGTTGCAATCTAATTGAGTTGCCCAATTTCACGTGTCCCTTATAGTTGACCTGAAGCCGTAATTTCAGGGCAAAATGTCATTGTTCCATCAAATGAGGCCAAATTATGTTTATCTTGAACTGATGATTCAGCTCCAAATTCATCTTCTGTAATTCTGTGAGTGATTATTATATAAATTTTCCATATTTTTGTTTAGATCCGTGCAAAGACTCATGCATGTCATGCAGCATAGTTGATGGCTTTTTCAGATGTCTGCTGACATTTGTCTGATCACTTCTATTACTATAATCTTCTAAGTCATTTGTTCTAAAATCAGAGTAATGCAGCATATAATCATTGCTAGCAGGTGTATTTTCATTATCCTAAGTAGTATATTTAGGTATTGAGTGCTTCTCTCAAATCCCTTTATTCCTTCGAGCAGGTCAATTGCAAACTTCTTTCATGATAACTATTCATTAGCTACTAAATGTAAAATGCACGTGTATGTTGCTAATAAAGAACATAAAATTTTCAGCAATTCAACCCGAGCTTGCAAGAAGTGTGAAAGGAGTATCCTAGATCCATTGCCTCAACTGTGCAATCAAGGTAATCTGAAAAGTGAGCACTTCGCATATTCAATCTTCCTTTTTCATTCAGGCCTGCTATAGGGAAGGGAAGTAGAAGTTTCTAGATTTACTGGTCAATGCTGTTAAAATTCAAGATCTTACATGGGATGTGGAAGGGATGAAAGGTCAGAAATTGAAGGGTCGCAACAAGGATCATAAGTTTGTCAACAAATGATAAAGATGTGATAAAAATGACGTGGTTAAGATGAATATCTTGTAAATCATAACAGTAAATTAAACTTTAACTGAAAATGCATATTCATAGATTTATAAGTCATGACTAATAGTTCCAAAAGAACTCGTATTTAGTCACAACACACAATTAACTCAACCTGCTAGCCCAAATGCCTAGAACAAATTGTGCAAGTGATTCAGATCATAGGCAGAACCGACAACTGCACAAGTAAGTCACAATGACAGAAGTGTAGAAGAATTGAATAGAGGCACAAGTGCTAAGTAGTAGAACAAAAAAGAGGCAGAACTATCATATTTATGGGAAGTGAATGCCAGAGAAGAGGCACAATGATAAGAGAAAAACAAAATGTACCTGTGAGTAAGGTCTCAGCTCAGACAGACCAAAAAGCAAAAACCCTGGATGAAGAACTGTGAAAGAATGATTGTAAATGGAAGCCATGATTTTCACAATCTCAAGATTGTGCTCATACTCACAATTTTCATAACATTTTTATTGATAAATAGTAGTGTCATAAGACTGAAGACTGTTTTATATTTTATACTTTCTTTGTTTGGTCATTTAGTCCTTTACAACTACTTACTTTTAATTATGAGTTACATAGAGAAGTAATTATACCATAGTTATATGTTGGAAGCAAATTGAGGAATTTTGACTTATATACTCTCACCTAATAGTTTAGTTATATTACATATCATGCTGATAATTGTATCAGAGAATGTTTACATTTCTTAAATTCATTCATTGTTTTTTCATATAACAATTTTTAACTGTCACATTACTGTGTGTATATTTATTTGGTTGAATCCTTTTTTGTTGACGCAGAATTTTCTATTGGCAAAGGATCATGGTCTTCTCAACTACCTTTCTTCATGAAGGTGGCCAATTTTTTTCTAGGAAAAGGGCAAGAGTATCAGATCTTGGACATCAAGATATTGATTTACATGCAGATGCAGGAATTTCCGATGATTTTTCCTTATCCTCAGATCAAAATATAGAAAGGTCTTCAAATTTTTGGTCATTACATGATACTTTGGCTTGTTCGTCCTGTTATAAACATTTTATCTTGTGGAATTAATCAAATTTTTCAGTGATAACCTGTTAAATATGCTTTTTTACTCACTTCATTGAAGTTCAAATTGGTTCTATATTTGATTGTAATTGTTATAACCAGTCACTTGATCAGAGTCTGTTAATTATTATGTTATGATATTATCTATTTGTCATCCTTTGTCTGCGGGTAAATGGATATTTCTGACATGCTACCGTGTCATTTTACTAGTGACTTGTGATCCACATTTTTCAGAATTCCTCAGATATTCCATGTTACAAAAAAATATTGGTTGCTACTGCTATAACTCTCTTAAAACCCTGTTCCATTTATCAAGGCATTGTTTGGTGTTTATGTGTGGGTATCTCCAGGTAGAATTTTGGAAAATGATGCTAATGACTATACCATTTTCAGAGGCCTTCTTTAACCTATACTGTCTTTCTTATTTTCAATCAATCCCATGGAAAGTTTTATTGCTCTCTGTTGTCATTTTTTGAATACATTCTGTGAGGTGGTGAACCTTAATTGGCCTTTTTGTTGTGTTGATGTCTGGGGTGATTATTAGGTGTTTTCTTTTAGCAACTTCTTTTGCTCTGTTAGAGGGATTCTAGAAAAAGCAATAACAAAGATTTTTTGTTAAACATTTTAGTTGCTGATTTTGGTTAGGATGATGCTGTGATTTTTAAGGGTAAATTCTTATTTATGCTTATAGCCTCCTCATTTTGGTTCTTTGTGCATGAATTCTTTTAGATGGTGTTTTCGCAGAAGGAATGTAAAACATTCCTGGGTAAGTGACATGGGAATAAAAGTTTCTAATACTTGATAGAGTTGAGTATAAAAATTTCCTTGGAATAAAAGATTTTTGGGAATGTTAATTTTGAATAAATAGGAAGAAAACTTCCCCACCTTTACAGGTTTAGAAAGCTGCTGACAATTGGATGGAATTAAATGAATGTGAAAGATATAGCATACCATATGAAAATAAAACTGCTGCTGATTTAAGGCCACTTCTACACTTAAGATATTAACCTATGAAAAGTCTTACCTCTCATATTTTCATATTAAATATCTTATTTTGTTTGAGTCTTTCCCCAGGTGCAGGAGTACCGGTGATGTTCCTTCTTCCAGTAACACTGATGATAAAGCTGATCCAGATTCTGGAACAGAGATGAGCTGTCCATCAAATGTTAATAGTGGATATGTTCCTGTGTGTTCTACCACAGGGAATATATCACACCTGGACCAGAGTTTCTGTGGCTATGTGCAACAGCCTGCTTTAGTGAGTGGATGGATGTATGTGAATGAAAATGGGCAAATGTGTGGTCCCTATATCAAGGAGCAGTTATATGAGGGCCTAACTACTGGTTTTTTGCCATCTGAGCTTCCTGTGTATCCAGTGATTAATGGCACAATAATGAACCCTGTACCACTGAATTACTTCAAGCAGTTCCCTGATCATGTTTCCACGGGGTTTGCATATCTGATTATGGGTATCTCAGGCACAAGGATGCCTACAATGGTGGAATATGAACATGATAAGTCTTTTGAACTTGCTACTCCTCTGGCTGGTAACCCTGATTCACAGTCTGTTTGGCAGTCGCATGCCAATTACTGCATTAAGGAATCCAATCACTTAAATCCACACTCAGAAGCATTTAACAGTTTAATATCTTGTCAGATGGTAATACAATATCTACTCTTTGTTTTGTCATGTAAAAGTAAGTTTGAAATACATTGAGGGCATGCTTTATTTCTAGTTTCAGTTACGTGAAGAATGCTGTTGGCTTTATGAGGATGAGAAGGGTATTAAACGTGGGCCACATTCTATCAACGAATTGATTTCCTGGCACAGTCATAGATATCTTAAAGATTCAACGTTGGTAAGATGCAATCTTTTTTTAATGAAATAATATTATAGGCTGTAGATCTGTTGCTGGAAATGATTGAATGATTATCCCATTGTTTAGCATCATCTTTTAGGGTGTGTTGATTTGTTGTTTACACACAGTTCAAGTCACTCAAATGTGATTGGGTGAAGTTAATTGAAGGATTGCTGTTCAGCATGAATACAAACATGCACTTTATCTTTTGCCTAAATTGCAATTTTGGTTCTGGAACATTGAGTACTTTTCAATTGTTTCCTAATAAAACCATCTACGAAGGAGATAATAAAATAATTTTATTCTCATGTCATTCATACCTCGTCCATCATTTACAGCATATATATAGGAGGATAATAATAAAGCCCAATCCTAAAAATACATAATATCAGGGATTGATTTATTCTGCCCTTAATTCTAGATATTCTGCTTTCCTGTCATAATCAGTTTTAACACCCAAACCTAAACTTTCCAATTTTAATGTCAGATCTCTGAAACATAATGAAAATTGCTGATTCATGCAGAAGTATACTTATGTGGTAATCGGAAAATTGTTGGCGTAGTCCACATATTTTGGATATCCCATCTCAGTACTTTTCCTTATGTTTCTATGATGATTGTTTTAAAACGATTTAGGTGAAAATCTTAATTTTGTAAATACTCCAGTGAAGCCCATATTTTTAAAGTATTCAGTTTGGAAGTAAGTCAATTCTCAGAGGCCAAAACTATTTTTTAATGTACTTTTAAAACTATGATATGATACTTATCTCCCTGGGGTCCTAGACATGGATTGGACTAGTAGGTCTACTTGTAGTTAACGGCCTGACATGTTATTGAAATTTTCTGATGGTCAAATTATCATACGTTGTTCAAAGAAGGCTAAGTTTTGCAAAGTTCGGTTAGTTGAGGTTCTAAGTGAATACTGTCAATCAGAACATGTGATGAGGTTTTGTTGGGGGTTTGAATTTTGTTTAATAAATTAATGTCATACCAAATTAGATGAAGGACATTCGGTTAATATCCTTTTGCCGAAGCTCTATCTAGTTGAGTTTTGCTTAAGAATGTTCCTATATGTCTCGATCAATCTCTTGGAATAACAATGAAGGCTGGTTAGGTTCTATCCTTTGGTGTTTTCTATTTCAAAGGTCATGCTATACAGTGCCATTTGTAAAATATGTTTTCTTGGTTGTTTCCTATTATTAGCACTGATTCAGTTTTTCTTCTACACAGTTTCATCTATATTTTCCTTGAACTTAAGTGTCACTATTTGTGTGTATACGGTGATGAAATGTAGTGTAGTGTATTTTCGGTAATTATAGGGTTATGAGGTTCCTGAAGCCCAAATCAAATACACAATTTAGGAAGATATGTTCTGGATTTATGATTAGAATTTTATAAGATTGGAGTGTTTGTTTGTTATTATGATATTGAGATTCTTCAAAATTTAATTTTTTGCTATTTTGATGTTATGAAGATATGAGTTGATCTAAAGCAGGAGAAAGAAAAACCTATGTTGATAATAATGATCAGGATAGTGGTCGTGATTCTTGGTCCTCATGGAATTGTGTCTAGTTGCAGCAATAATATTTGGAACAATGCTAAAACCACATTGCATTTTGTTCATTGCCCTTATATTACTGGTTAGATTCTGTATGGTAGTGGATGGTATTTATTTTCGCTTATGATGTGGGCAATAGTATCATTTTCAATAGAACCTTAGAGGTTTGGCAGAAATCATCTCATCTCTGAGGAGCAATATCTGGGTTACAGGGGGAGCTTTTCTTATGTAATACACCTAGTTTTTCAATCAATAAAACCCTTTTTCTGTTTTTTTGTAATTCATGTCCCTATTGATTTACCCTTGCTTTCTCTAGAAAGAGTTGCATTACTCTGACAATCACCCGTATGACTGACTTTTGTTAATTTACAGATCTTTCATGCTGATAAGAAGTATGACACCTTTGTGCTATTGTCTGTTATCAATGCATTAAAAGGAGATACCTCTGCAACCATTTGTAGACCAGGTTCTACAAGTAATGAGGTTGGTGATATGGTAGACATAATTAGTGAAATATCTGAGAACATTTCTTCGCAATTGCATATGAGTATCATGAAAGCTGGACGCAGAGTTGTGCTAGATGGAATTATTGGTGACATCATTGCAGAATATGTTACGGAAAAGAAATGCAAGAGGCAGAAGCTTGAATCAGCTGCCCATACTCCTGAAAACAAGATGGTGATGTTTAATTCCCTTGCAAGTACTATTGTTGAAAGCTTGAAATTGTGTGCATCTTACTAAGATGTTGAATGTTTGCTTTAACAGTCTAAGTTTTCTGTGGAGGTCAGTAAAGGTTCTGCTACTTCCCATATTCTGGATGATCAGGCTTGTCATGAAAGTTCGAGACTGCCCTTGGCCAGTTTTAAATCAGTTGGAAGTGTTGAAAATTTTTGGTGGTCATATGCTGCTGTTCGCAAGGTACTTCTTGATTATTGCTTGCAAGTCATGTGGAATGCAGTGTTTTTTGACACAATAGCAGATTGCTTATCTTCTTGGAGGAAGAGGAAGATTTGGTTTCATCCCAAGCCTCAACCATCTGCGAATGGATGCAAATACCATGCTGAAAAGATTGAATCAGAAGCTGTGAGTACTGACTTCTGCACAGCTTGTTTGAGTTTTTTGCTTAAATTGTAAGTATAATGATCATACAATTATTCTACAGTTGGTTCTCAAGCCAGATTCCTCTGAAAGCAATGCTCATGGCTATAATCAGTTTGGAGTACTGGCAACAGAAAGAAATTATCCTCAGTTATTTTCATCTCCTAGTAGGTTCAAAGGGGGAAACTCACTGAAAGAAGAAAATGATTCTTCCCCTTACCATAACTCTAAAGATTTGACATTCATTCTTGAAAGTGTGGAGAATGAGCTTCACTTATCTTCAAAGGCATCTTTATCTGATTTCATACGACATTTTGTTGAGAAGGAAATCAACAAAATAGTTTCTTTCCCAGAAGAAAACAAATCAGATGAGGTAAGTTCATTTTAAGTGTTTGTATCCTTTTTCTGTACCAGTCACTATTACATTGAAGAATCCTTTTATTCTTGCAGGTTGCTGTTAGTGACACTTGTTTTTCAGATATACTTGCTGGTAAAATGTCTGTGAATGAAACTCTAAACAACAGGTCATTGGATTTGGTTGAAGCAGGAAATTCATTTGGCAAGTCTGCATCTGGAAACCTTATGTCAAATATGTTTTCAAGAGCATTTAAGGAGTTGTGTGGATATGTAGATGATGTGGTTGAAGATGAGATTGATAACCTACCACCTGGACTTGAAGAGAAGTCTCAACCAGTTGTCCTACACTACAATTCGAAATTTCGGCCTTCAAGGTCGGCGGAATGTAATCCTAAGATTACAGAATATGTTACTACTGCACTGTGCCGACAGAAACTGCATGATGAAGTTCTTGAAGAGTGGAAGTCAATGTTTCTTGACTCTGTACTCGATGAAGTTTTTGTATCATCAAGTACCATGAAGAAACATTTTAAGTTTGATGGTCAGGAAGTAAGAAACATTTGAATTTGATTTCTCTGACTACTTGTCTTTATTTAGTTTTAATTTGTCTTATTATTGAAATTTTATTGTTTGCTTTAATTGTTTATAATTCTTTAGAAAGGAAAAATAATCAAAGCTATCAATGAACATTTGAATGGTGCTACTTCTGGACTGGGAAGAGTGAAGGAAGGAACAAAGAGTTCTTCTGAAGTTCGTCCGGTGATTAGAAAGAACACCTATTGCCGCAAGAAGCTGTCACAGAAGGAGTTAGTTTCGTTACAAGCTGTAGCAAAAAATGATTCTAGGCCAGGGAAGAAACAGGTGGCCAAGTTAAGGAAACTTGTTTGTGGAGATGTTGAAGAGGCTGTTGAGGTTGAAATAGATTCTGTTAAACATGGAAAGATAAGGAGGGTTAAAGGGAAGAAGGATCCATCTTCTAAGGGCAAGTCTTCTGTCATTGTTAATGGTAGCTCACGCAGTGATCAACCATCTTTAAAGAATAAAGCTGGTCAGAAAGTGTTGAAGTTTGCAGGTGATGTTCAGAGTGTATTTCCTTCTTAATATGTTGACACTGGCTGCTTTCATGATTATAAATTGTTTTTAATAAAGCCGTCCACTTTTCCTTATTCAGAGAATGTTAAGGATGTTGTGAAATCCACCGGAAAGAAACTTTCAGTGTCAACTGATATTAGTGTTGGCATGAAGAAGATTGTCAAAAGTGATGACACTGTAAAAGAGAAAACCTCAGGTCATTGCTCTAGAGAGATTCAAAGTGGTAGGTTTATGGTGTATTATCACTGGAATTTTTCCTGCTTATTTTTCATCCTTGAAACTTATCTGGCTTTTGTAGAATGTTTTATATTCAATTTTCAATGTTTGCACACACACAATTGCAAAATCAAAAGCCTTATATGTCAATAGGTGAGGTTTGCTGCGTAGATCACATGACAGCATTTGGTTTGGTCATAGACCAAATCTCCAGAGATATTTAGCATGAGATCCCTTTTAACAATTTTCTTCAATGTTCTTGGTCTGCTTCTCACCCCTTTTCATAGGACTTAAACCTTCAATATACTCACTAGTGCTTCCAATGACCTTCTTTGTTGTGTGCAAACGATGTGTATCAATTTTTTGTTATGTTTTCCTCAATACTAATGTACCTTCCCGCATAAAATAATTTCATATCTTGTCTTTCTTTAGTGATTACACATTCATCTTAATATTCTCATATTTACTACTCCCACGTTTTCCCCTGGTTGCCCCTGGCAACAGTTTACTACTGTTGAGATATGTTATGTTTTAATGTTTAACTTATTTTTTGTGTGTGTATGTTCCATTGATTAGGGTTAAGGGTGTGGACTGAGGCTTATATCCGCTCTTTTGTATCCCTTCTTTATAAATACAACAGTAACAGTGTCTTTTGACACTGTTTTGGAACCCTAAACAGTTTTCTCAAGTACTACCATAGAGTATAGCTATATAGCTATACATTCGTTTCCCCATCATCATAGCATCATGTTTGCTTACTGAAGCAGTATGGCTATACCTTTATCAATTTAGAAACCCAACATTTTCTTGTGTGGCCACACATTCATCTTAACATGATCTTTGTAACCTATATGACAGTCTCATCAAATTTCTGATCATTTTGTAGTATTGATTCTAAATATTTGAACTCAGAAACTAGCGGTATGACACTTTGTCCCTTTTTACATCCATTAGTCTTACTCTTCTGTAAAAATCTTTTGCTTCCGACATATGTCTCCAAGCTCAAGTTAAAGTTAACCACTTCCCTTGATTTTTCAATCAATACTAAATCATTCACAGAAAGAATGCAATTAGGGATAATCCTTTGTAAGTTCCTCGTAAGCTTGTCCAAGATTATATTAAACAAGGACTTAAGCTCGGGCCTTGATGAATTTATATCCTTATAGGAAAGCATTAGTTTCGCCTCCTAGAGTTGCTCAATTATACATGTCTTGTATGGTTCACATATAAGCTATGCTAACACCTTTCTTTTCTAAGTTTCCAATAAAACTTCTTTACAAGTTTTGCAGAACACGACTCTTCACACTCAATCACAAGCCTTTTCCAAATTAATAAAATACATATGTAGGTTTCTTTGTCCTCTTCAATACCTTTCTATCAACATGTAAAAGATAAATGACTTTTATAGACCTTCTTGTCATAAAACCAAATTGATTATCTGAAATTCTTCTCTTAATCATTGTTCACCTTTTCTCTATATTCCATAGTGTGCCTCATAAGTTTTATACTTTTGTAGTTAACACAACTATGAATATTTCCTTCGTTGTTAGATATAGGGACCAAAGTGCTCTTCCTTCCCTCATTTGACATTTTCTTAGATCTCAAAATCACATTAAATAGCTTACCCAGCCAAATTATATCTTGTTCTCCCACATACTTCCAAACGGAAAATAGTGATACCATCTTGACCAACATTACCATTATTCATCCTCTTAAGAGTCTCTGTTACCTCTCCACTCCGAATTCTAGTGAGGCAATTTTTGTTCTTCCTTTTGTCTTTCTAGTCTTTCCATAGTACTGACAATCCTTGTTCCTTCTTGAAAAGCTTCTAAAATTATTGGCCCCATTAACTCTTGCGTGTTCATCTTTAATACGTTTATCCAAATATTTTGTTTTCCTTTCTCTATATTTGGCAAGCTTACATTTCTTTTGTTCTCCATTTTTTGTCCTGATATCTTTATAAAACTTTTCAAATGCTTGAGATTGTATTTCACTGACAACTTTTCTTGTGTCATTTTTAACATTCAGATTAACACGCTGTTCATTTTCTGGTTTATTGCACCAATGCAAGGCTAAATTTTTTTCTTACCTTGTCTTGAACACTTTCATTTCATCATTAACATTTTTTTTAATGTTTACAGTAACAAAGAAAGTATCAAAATCAAAAAGGAAACATCAAATGAATGGTACAACATCTTCACCTCCCACAAAGATTTTGAAAATTTCAAATTGCGGTGATGTGGTAGCCAGTAAACAATTTACTGTGGAACGGATGAAGTCTGCTAAATCCAAGCCATTGAATTTATATCCTAAATCTGATGGATGTGCTAGAATTTCTATTGATGGTTGGGAATGGCATAAATGGTCTAGAAGTGCCAGTCCTGCATCTAAAGCACATCTTAGGGGTCTTCCGTGTTTCCAGAACAAGTACATATATCCTGAAAATAATCTATCTCAGTTGCCAAATGGTAAGGGTCTTTCTGCAAGAACAAATAGAGTGAAATTGCGTAACCTTCTTGCTGCTGCAGAGGGTGCGGATCTCCTTAAAGTGCCTCAATTGAAGGTGATTGAATAAAAGTGTTTTTGGTCAATTTTATTTAAAGCATCTTGATATGTCAAAATTAAAATATTTATTTGCATTTCACAGGCACGGAAGAAAAGATTACTTTTTCAAAGGAGCAAGATCCATGACTGGGGTCTTGTTGCGTTGGAGCCAATTGAGGCAGAGGATTTTGTGATTGAATATATTGGAGAACTAATTCGTCCTCGGGTAAAGTAAACTATTGTGACAACTATTCATATTTTAAAGTCATGTTGATGGTTGATTTTCTGAAGTCAATCTATTGTGCATGTAACACTACATATAAAGACAATCAAAATTAGCTGGGGTTTCTCTTTGGCATGCTTATTGTCTGTCTAATTGCATGAGCACATATATTCTTGGTGCAAGGTTTTTTACAAGTTTCTTATGTAGTGGTTGCTTTTTAAAGAATTAATGCATTGTGTCTTTTGATGGCTGTAGAATCTCTAGTTGTCCAGGATGGTTGACGTGATCTTTCCTCGTTGCATATATATGCTAAACAGTATATAGTTGATGTCATAGTTGGAATTACATAAATTGCAAAGTCTTCACCCAATTGATACAATTTATACAGAGTTTTTTTACTACCAGAATTCCACTTTGAATTGCCAGAATTATAGAGGAATTGCTTGAATGTCAATTCTGTTTTGATTCTGGCAATATGATATGGAGGGATAGTAAACTGTACAGTGGCGGGGTGATGAACCAAGGATGCAATGGATGGGCGTGTTCAAAATGCTTCTTTAAATTTTATATGATGGTCTGGTAGTGGTGGGGTTGTTGTAAGGAGAGATGCACCTCAGATTTGTGCATCTTAAAATGTACAGGAGCAGAGGATAGGAACTATAGAGGTGATTGAACAACAAAATGATTTTTTTTTCTAGTTAGTTTTTGAAATCTATAGAGCATTATTGTGCATTTTGTTACATTCCATCCTAAAATGAATAAGCAACTAGTGAAGTTACCCCACAATTATATATAAGCCGTGGACCCCTGAAATTGAGACAAGTGATGGAGGACATTCCAACACAATAAGAATGAGATTTATAATTTTTGTATTTTACTTGAAAACATTTTGTATTATTTTGTACAATTGATTATGAATCTAAATTTGTTTTCAGATTTGCATTTCAATTCTTCTGCAATATAGCATGAAAATCTGATATGATTTTGTCTCCGACAGATATCAGATATTCGTGAACGTCAATATGAGAAGATGGGAATTGGAAGCAGTTACCTTTTTAGACTTGATGATGGTTATGTGGTCAGTATATATTGGTTTAATAATTAATTTTAAATTTTGGGTGTTTCATTTATCTTGCTTTTCTAAGGTAACCATGAAGTCATTGTTTCCAATGAATCTGATATTATATTCTCCCTATTCACCTTATGTTGGTATTGATTGATATTTTGACTCGTGTTTTTCTGCAATTGAAATATAGTGGAGTTTATGGACCCAAGAGTAGCCTGAATTATATCTTATGAATTTATTGTATTGCATTTTGAAATTTTTTGTTGTTTGAAAATTATTTACTCAGTTAGATTTTAGTTCAATAATTTGGTAAAGCTAATATTTTGGCAAATAGTGGATGATTATATAAGTAGACAGTTGTTGTTAAATTTCCTGTTATGTCATATCATATGGCTTATTATCATACATAGACTCCATGCAATCCAGACACATGATAATTTTGTCTTTTGATTGGTTAGTCCACTGGATAAGCTTAAATAAAACCTAGTCTATAAAAATGTAACCTAAATGAAGTGTATAATTACGTGTAACTTTGCATGTTTATTTATTACTTTTCTCGAGATAAAAACATATTTTGATTAACTTGAATCCAGTGATAACTACTGAATTGCTACATTTTATTGTCCTGTCTGAGTATATGTAGGTTGATGCTACCAAGAAAGGTGGGATTGCAAGATTTATTAACCACTCTTGTCAGGTACTTGTGTACTATTAAATGCATTTTTTTTGGTATGATTCACATTTTAAGAAGTGTTTTGGGTGTACGCATATGTCACTTCTGTTTTTGACTTCTTGTTCTTCTTGATTTGGACTATATTTATTTGCAGCCCAACTGCTATACCAAGGTTATATCTGTGGAGGGTCAAAAGAAGATTTTCATATATGCAAAACGACATATAACTGCTGGTGAAGAAATTACATACAATTATAAGTTCCCCTTGGAGGAGAAAAAGATTCCCTGTAACTGTGGTTCCAGAAAGTAAGATGATGACGCTTCAACTTCTGAGCTTGTTTTGTTCTTTTCTTGCGATCGTTGTAGATATTTTAGTTACCTTGATTTATTCAACCTTACAAAATTGGTTTGTAAGGTGTGAATTGTCTAAACTTTAACTCATATCTCTAGTCTATATGTGATTAAACCATCACACCTGAAGCTTCAATTAAGGCAGCCCCAAAGAGGTGACAACTAAGGTGGGCTAGGAGGGACCGTATATAAGGAAACTTTCCAACAGATAAGAAACAAATGATCTTTGTTGAAATTTAGTGCCTATTTATGAGTGCATGAATAGAACTTTTCTTTGTGGTTCGGTCTTGTGAGAATCTAGTGAGAAAATTGGATACAACGAATCAAATGGATATAGCAGATAAAATGAATGATAATCTGGTTACAAATGATAGAGAAGAATGATAATAACTTCAAAAGAAACTAATATAGGCCTAGTATCTTATTAGAAATAATAAGGGAAATTGTTGTGCCTAACTTGCAAAACTTCAATGGTTTATACCTTTAAGTGCCCAAAAGCTCCAATTCTTCCAAATGACTGGATGATCTCTCTCTTTCCCCTCTTCTCTTATTTATAGGCAACACGCCTTATTGATCTAAGTATCCCATCCCCCAACTAACTCTGTCCCTAATTATTCTATGATCTTATGGGGTATTTAACCTATCATAACTAACTGCTAATGGGGTTACCTAACAATACCACTCCCTGAAAATATTTCCATGTATGCAAAGTGATTAATTGGACGCAAACAAAGTTTTTATTGTTGATCCTACATTATAAAGTATGGTGGTCAAGCCAAATCCCACTACTGCAGGCTGCAGACTGCCCCAAAGTATCATTAACTCCTCCCAGGTGAAATACAAACAGTTGAATACTTTTATTCTTTAATGATCTGTTTTCATCAATATTTTTGGCTGTGAAACAGTGTCAATGCCTCTCCCATTGGGCTGTGATCCCATTGCAAGTGGCAACTGATGATGACTATTTTAGTCATTCACTACCACCTTGGACAACTTCATCTCTACGTTGTGGGTCCCCACCAATTTGCAACTCACTGTCAGTCATCATATGAAGAAACATTTCCATGGATTTTGTGATTCCCGGTAGTGGATTGATGTGGGTCAAACGAAAACTTCATCGTTATGATCTTTGGCTCTCCCTCTCCCCTTATGTCAAACATTGGGCTTCCCTCAGTTTCTGCATCCTCTTTGCAACCCAAAATAGGCCCATTTTTTTGTAATCTCTGCTGTTGGGGTTCTTGATCTAAAGAAGGTCATTTTTGCTTGCTTTTATGATATTTTGTCCAAAATGCTGTTGTCTTTCTCCCATTTTTGTAGCTTGTATTCGTTTTTAGCCCTTGAGCCATTGGTTCTATCCTCCAAAATTTTATTTCCTGCTACGTTTTCTTGCCTCCTTTTGTCATCAACTTCTTCCGTATGTTCCATTGGTCTTAGCTCTCATCTTGAACTTCATCTCTGCATTTGTTTTCTTGCTCTTTGAGTTTTGAATCTTGCAGATAAATTCTGAGCTCTGGATAGAAGAGCTTGAGCACAGCCTTCTCAAAGTAAAAATTGTAGCATTTTGGTTAACCTTCTTCTATGAAAACCACAAACTAGAAACTCCTCTCAATGCTTCCAAACCCTTGATAGCTTCTCTAAATACTGATCTAAACTCCTCTTAGTGTCACCAATAGGCATATCACCACTTGTACCAGTAGTTTGCAGCTGAGGTTGAGAGACATGATGAAGATTCTGATACCAATTGATTCAAACCAGGTATCTTATTGGAAAGAACATGTGACTTCTCGTAATTCCCAAAGGGCATATGCTCTCTCAAATGGCAACATGATCCCTTTCTTCCCTCCCGTTACTTATTGACAATGTCCATATTATCTCCAATCTCCAACTAGGTAGCTAACTCTTACTACTTATTTCACTAACTATCGAATGGGCTATCCAACCTATCATAACTAATTCTTAATGGTTACCTAATAGAAACCATCAGGAGAGACCTTGATCTGAATGATTTTTTTATTTTTTTCTTAGTTTTTTTTTCTATGTATAAGCACAATGGTGTTATTTAAGCCATGTAACTGACCCCTGCTCGTGGGATAGTGCTTGGTTGTTTTATAAATAATGACCATATAATATCCCTTAGTTTATTTGACAGACATTTGGACTAGATGTGTATTTGTTCAAAACTTTTAGGACCAAAATGAAGGTGGAAAATTTCCTTTTGGTTCTCTTTGCATATGGTTGGGATATAATCACTTTATAACATATATATGTATTTATTATGCAGGTGCCGTGGATCATTAAATTAGGCATTCATTGGGTTTCTGATACTGGTATGCATGTACTGCTGAAGATGAATTTAGTTTTTTATAGCTTCACTCTAACTTGTGTCCTGTTTTTATAGGTCACTCTTTTCAAAGTCCACATTTTAAATTATTGAGTGGACAGAATTTTCACCATTGGTATGTACTCATTGAATATAAGTGTTTAATCATGGCATTTAATCCTGTTAATCATTTTGTTTCAGAAGCTTCTGCTTTTCCCTTTACATGTCATCATTTTGTAAGTTTTCAGTTTAGGGAGTTTATGAACTGATGTGATTCAACACTATGAAATTGCGAAAGAATTTAATTTATGAAACATGTTAATCTTTTGGAAAAGAGCACACCTTAATTGTGATTGTTTGGTAGGTATAACCGACAGAAAAGTTATATGGTTAATCTTGTTTTGGTTACAGGATTATACTCTCTCTGATATGAATCTTATTTGTACAAAGGTTGACTTAGGATCTTTAGGATTAGAACCTTGTAAGAAATTAGTGAGAAGGTGGATTAAAAAGTGGTGAAAGTTTCAGGGTTGAGCAGAATTTTAGAGAGGTTGATATCTTGTGTTATAAAACTCCGATTGAGGTGATTCATAAACAAGGTGAAAGTTCTCGTTCTGAATTTCAATTTAGGCTAAAAAAATACTCAATTTGGGCGAGTAGAACGAAAGTTATGACCACTCAGCAGAATTGAGTTTTTTGGGTTTTGGTGAAGAAATGACTAAGAAGTGAATGTGAAAGGTCGAATGAAAGGATCATTCTTCTCAAGGAAGGTAACTTACAAAGGATAGGAAAGTACTTTGATAAAGCCAAGAGTTTTTGAATAACTCAAGAACTTACGGGAATCACTCTTACTAAGATAAGAGCTAAACTTTAATATTTATGAATAAAACTCATATATAGATGTTTTGCTTTGTCATCAGAGTTACAAAGATTCAATAAAGGAAAATAAATACTAATAATGATCCATTAATCTAGGAATTGAAAACTACTTAATGGAAACAAATAAATGCTAATAGGATCTATTAACCTAGGAATTGAAAACTACTTAATGGAAGTAAGTAAATGCTAATAATGATCCATCAACCTAGTAATTGAAAGCTACTTAATGACTGATTGTAATTGAAATTGTACTAACCAAAAGTTAATCAGCTATGCATCCTCTTGGTCTCCCAAAGGCTGATGCCTAAGTTTCCAATTTGACCTTTATTAAACAAAACCAAACTTATGTCCATTAATTGATTAACCTAAAACATAATTTGGTCAGCCAATTTTACAAAGGTTAGGCCATTATTTAAACAAACTTAAAGACTGAAATAAAGTGATGCATTAGTCCTCCTCCATTTGGGTCATGATGCAATTCACAACTTTGGTCTTTTCTTCTTGAAATGTGGGCTTGTATTAAAATAATATGGATAATACTTGTTAAAGAGTTTCTTTTGTTTTCCTTGCTCTAGTCCTTGTCATAGATCCTCCAAATCCTTCAAGTGGATCCTTGTCCTTGTTCATGGTCAATGTCCCCATCACTCTCCATATGTTGCATTCTGAAGGCTTGACTCTTATTTTACTTTTCACCTGGCATCAAATTGGATGTGATGCAAAACTAGTTGTTTGTGATCATACATTGTACGTTTCTACTCTCAAAATAATATCTGGTGTTCATAGTGGTTATTGTTATTTTTTTAATACTAGCTTGTTATATTACTTGATCTAGATTTGATGTGGCTACCTCTGTATTGCGATAGGTTAATGCTAAAGGAATATACAGGGGAATAGTTTGTATAGATTCAGTTTTATCTGTGTGAGAAATGTGTCGTCTTATACTCATTTGGTGTCTGCTAAATATTTGCTTTCTGCTCCATTATTTTACAACCTGCATTGTGTTTTTAGTCATCCAATTTCCAGGATTTGCCATACTACATGGAGATATCTTTATGGTTGTTGATATATCTTTATGAAAATGTCCGAGTACTTTTTCTTTGTTTCCAAATCTAATATTGTCAAATATTTTGTATGAACTAATCTAATTCCAAGTAATAATGAATGCAATTTACATTTATATAATTCAGGTAGTCTAACTTAGCACAACTTTATATCTTACTACTATTTTAGTGGGGCTAGCATGACCTGTGGCCATAAAGGCTATTGCACCATTATGAGTTGCTTGCAGCCACCTATTTGTTTAGTAGGATAGCGTTTAATGATTTAGCTCTAGTTTCAGACATCATGTTTACGTTGTTTGCAGTTTTAGCCTTTTTTCTCTACGGAAACTGTTATGCATATGATCCACTAGATCAATCATATCTTTGTTCAAAGTTAATTCGATGCATATCTAGACTTTTAGTTGTTTGGTTCCTTGATCGTTGGTTTGCTTCTAGATAAAGGAAGTGTTGAAATTGAGTATTCCCTGTTGTGAGAAACAAAAGTAGGAAACGTAAGCTTATAGTTGCGATAGCTCTGCACTCCATCCTTTTATACTTAGAGGTTTCTGTTTTCTTAATAATATAATTTAAACAAAGACATGTAATCTAGTGCATGACTTCTGGTTATTGATTAAAGTATTATGGTGTTTCAGGTTATGGATCAGAGTCGTTGATGTCACTGGCTAATAAGATTGATGATTGATAAACAATTTGGATTGCCTGCTCGTTTGGTGAAGAAATAAGTAGCACGTTCACTCTTGTGGAATTTTTTGTGGCAGTTGAGTTTCTTCTCTTCGAAGCTGTAAATATTTGTTTCCGTGTATATATTTTTTGGTAGTGTAGGAATAATTTGGTACAGAAATTGTCTAATTCATTATTGACTTAAAAGCTTTGGAAACATTAGTACAAGCTACTGAAAATCAAAACAGTGCTAATTTCTAATCTCCATTCCTGCCCCCAAATTATTCCCCATTTATTAGTTAGACCCTCATTCTTTATTTAACGATTTGATTGAATTATATTAAAAAGCTTTGGCTTAATTAGTGGCAACTATTTGATGTATCTACGTGCCAATGAAGATGGTATTGAAACTTCTTTTCACAACAGGGTTTTAAATTAAAATTGGTCGACATTGAAATCACCCTTTTTAACAGTTAACTGTTAAATATTTATGTGCTAGAAGTTGTTTAGCTATTTTTTTAGCATAGACTGAAATGCTTTTCTGGTCTTTATGAAATTATGCTTTAATCTTACAGGTATTATTGCAACTGTGCGATTTTAGTCCTCTAGGTTTCAATTATGTTAGTTGGATTGTTTAAGTATTGTAAATGTTTGATTTTTATCCCCCAGTTCCCATTGAGTTCCTTAAATATCACAATTGCGATTTTGTTCCTTTTCAAAGTTGGAATTTGTTGATGAGATATTGATAATGTGCAATACTTAAGGGACCAAATTGAGAAACTCGGGGGACTAAACTTACATATTTGTAATATATGAAAGGGATTGGATTGACTTAATTTGAAATTTCTGAGACCAAAAATTTTAGAATTGCAATACCCGAGGGACCAAACATGTAATCAAGTCTAAAAGTTATTAGTTCTGCTTTGGAGGCTTTTCCCATTTGTTAACAATTTTAGACATGTCCAAACTAGGGAAATGGCAGTATTTGAAGTGAAAAGGGTTGTAATTGGAAAGTTAAAATTTACAATGGTTAAGGGTGATTGGTTTCGTGTTATTCAGTAAAATATATACCAGTATATACTTATGTATGGAATTAATGTTTATTTTAGCACTCTAGTTTAGGGGTTCTAAAAATAAAAGAAATTGTCATTAATGAATACTTGAATTTTTTAAAGTCCTTTGTGGCCTATGGAACGTATGTATCAAGATATGAGTATCGTTAATCTGTTGTGTTGCCAGTTCTTATCGTGTCTGTGGTGTTAATAGTCGCGAAACAAAGCCTATTGTGGGAATTTTGATTAGTGTATCTTACAAGTTCGTAGAATTTGTAGATAAAATTGGTTGCCTTTTATCTTCTATTTATTTTGCTTCCCTCCTTCAATTCCTGTGGTTGCAGGATTAGCTCAAGTAGGAAATACCGTTTTAGTTTGCTGAGTTGGATTGTGCCTACTGGTATGTTTCTCTTTCCGTCGCTTTTTCTAGTGATTCCTGGTGACTGGTGAGTTCTTTCTTATTTGTTCTCTCAGAGATTCCCACTTCCATAAACCCCACGACAAAATAAAGTGAGAAGCAGCAAGGTATTTGAGAAGTGAATTCCTGGTTATAAATCACAGTTTGGATTTCATAAATTAAAAGGATTTCACCTTTATTGGTTGAATCAGTTCTGTCATGTTATTTACCTCGGTAATTATGTGCTCACGAATAACAACGAATTCATTGCAAATTATACTAATTTTTTACGTCTTTTTTACTTGTTTAAATATTTTTACTCATTCCAACAACTGTTTTCTGTTAAAGAATGAAGTTCTTGTGGAGGTTGTAGCATTAAAAAAAAAAGATAAATTAAGAAAGCACTACTACACAAGCTTCTTTATGCCCACGAAAAAAGTGGAGATGAATTCATAAATTAACATCGGTTTGAGGATTTTGGTTAAGAAAAATTCGTGAATGTGTAATATATATAAGTTGTGAATATTTGTGAAGATATAACAAAATCAGTTATTTTACAAATTCATTGGGGCTGTGTTTGTGTTTTATTATTAGCTTTGGCAAATGGCATACTTTGAAGAGAAAACAACTACCAAGGGGTCAAGCATGGTAATGGGTTTTACTCACTTGGTCGATTAATCTTCTACTCATGATAATTGCATGACTTGAGTCAGAATGTTACAAATCCTTTTGAGAATGGTGATTTGGCTTGACTTTTGAAAAAATGAGAATCCAATTTTCCTACATTAAAAATGTGATAGGCCTAAATTTAGGGTGCGCAGTTGTATTTCTTAATTTTTGTAAAATTACAATTAAATTAAATTTATCTTTTTGTAACTCCTAAATTTACATAGACTCTCTGTCCCTACTCGTTCTTGGATCTACACTGATCATC